ATAGTGAGAAACTGTTTTTTTAAGATCAGGAACAAGGCAAGATATCCTTTCTACTGCTCAACTTTCACATTATATTGGAAGGCCTAGCAAATGCAATATGATAAGAAAAAAACAAAATACATACRGACTAAGGGGGAAAACTGTCTTTTTTCACAGATGATAATTGTCTATGTAGAAAATATTAAAGAAATGACCAAAAACTATACTGAAACTAGTAAATAATCATAGCAAAGATATAGGATACAAAGTAACAGACAAAAGTCTATTGCTTTCTTATATAACACCATTTACATAAGTGCCAAGATATGAAAGAGAGAAAGAGGGAGGGAAAGAAGGAAGGAGAGAGGAATTGGGGTAGAAAGGTATAAATGTAAAAAAACATTTTGCAAGATCTGAATGAGGAAAAGTACAAAGCTCTAATGAAAGCAATCAAAGATTTAAATAAATGGAAAGATATTTCATTCATATGGGAAAGAATATTGTTCAGATGACAGTTTATCCCAACTTGATCTATAAATTCAACTACATTCCAGTTGAAATCTCAGAAATTTGCTTATTGAATAATGACAAACTGATTCTAAAGTTTAGATAGAGATACAAAAGACCCCCCAGATAGAYAACACGACTTTGGAGATGATCAAAGTCACAGGGCTGACATTTTCTAACTTTAAAACTTACTATTAAGTTCTAGAAATCAAGACACTATGATACTGGAGAAAGAATAGATAGATGAATTAAACAGAATAGAGAGCCCAGAAAAAAAGAGGTGCATAAACACAGTCAACTTATCTTTGACAAAGGAGCAAATACATTATGACAGAAAATACAAGCTTTTTTATAAATGAAATTGGAACAACTGGACATGCAGATGCCAAGCATAAAACCAGATGCCAAGCATATGCCAAGCATAAAACCCAACCTTACATCTTACAAAAGAATTAATTCAAAATGAATTAGAAACTAAATGCAAAATTCAAAACTACAAAATATCTAGATAGTAACACACTTGAGTTTTTTTTGTGTGTGTATGATTAGTAAGAATTTTTTWAAATCTAGATGGCCAGTGAGTTTTTTGGCATGATTCCTAAAAAAATTGATAAGCCATATTTCATTAACATTAAAAACTCCTCTAGGAAAGACACTGTTAAGAGAAGGAAAATACAAACCACAGGCTGGGGAAAAAGTAGTTGCAAAACATATATCTGATAAAGAACTTTCTGTCCAAAATACACAAAAAAATCCCTAAAACTTAACAATAAGAAAAAAATTACCTGGCTAAAAATTAGGTAAAAGATCTGAACAGACACCTCACCAAGATATACAGATGGAATATTAGCATATGAAAAAATGTTGCACACCGTATGTCACTATGCAGTTGCAAATTAGAACAAGACACAATATCTCTGGAGAATAGCCCAAATACAAAATACTGACAATACTAAATGCTGACTACATGAACTCAACATGAACTCATTAGTTGCTGGTGATAATAAAAAATGGTTCAGTCATTTTGGAACATAATTTGTCAACTTCTTCCAAAGCTAAACAGAGTTTTTACAACATAATCCATAATCACACTCCTAGGTATTTATCCAAGTGAGCTGAAAACTAACATACACACACACACACACACAAAAAAAAAAACAATTCATCTAAATGCTTTTAGCAGCTTTATTCAACATGTCCCTAAACTGGAAGCAATCAAGATGACCTTCAACTGAGGTCCCAGGGTCCAGAGAAGTCAGCAATGCTAGTTGAAGAATAGGCATAAATTTCTTTGCTTGTTTGTTGAGAGGGGTCTTGCTATGTAAAATAGGCYGATTTGAAATTCCTGGGCTCAGGTGATCCTCCTGTCTAAGTCTCCTGAGTTGATGGGACTACAGGTACATGACAATATACTCAGTGGGCATAATTTTTTAAATTCAATAGTAAATTAAAAACTTGCTCAGTGACCAAATTACACCTTCAATTTCTCAAAGTAGATGTATTCTTATATATTTCCAGATGATGTAATTTTATTAGGATCATCAATGGCATGACTAATGAACTCAATTTTTTAAAAAAAATTATGCAAAAGCACTAATTTGATTTTTAAATAGACTAAAAATTTGGGGTTACACTTTTATATTCAAGGTATATTTTTAATGTAGTAAATGTGTCTATAAAAGTAGAATATTGTTTTCAATATGTAACTAAAATACATGAAAATGATTTTTTAACTTAAGTTCGTAAGTACATGCTTACAAGTAATACTTCAAGTTATCATGAACTTAAAGACACCTATTCTTCCAAAAGCTTTAAAAATGTACAGTAAAAAGCAAATGGATTCTTCATGTTTGTCCTGTAAAAACCTTATGAGTTTATCTTTGCACATTCATTTTGACCTGATAGTTCTATGATCAACATGAGAACAGGCATCATGAAGGATAAGAAGAGGAGCACATACCCTGTAGATCTGTCTTACTGAGTCATAGAAAGGCAGGAAGCTGGTCATGTGTAAGATCAGAAAACGGCGTGTCTAACTGCCCACTATGTTAAAATATTGACTTTAATACCAAGAGATTATTAAAAATTAAAAGAGGAAAACACCTGAAATTATTTCAGCAAAAAAGACATKATTTTGACTACTTTATATTTCTAACTGAAAACAATAACCATTAGGTTATATTTATAAACTATTCTACTCTTCTATTTAATGGATTTATGTGCTTTACAATCAAAACTTCCTTTTCATTAAGAACAGGCATTTTATATATGACTAGTAAGAAAGGCAAGTTAGTGCCAAAAAACAGTCTGAATCCAGTCTCATCACAAATATAAAACCCAGGYCAACTCTTCTCTAAACTTTTAAAGTAACTTTGTTTTATTTATTTATTTACTTTGTTTTTTTAGTGTGCTAATACAACTGATTTTTTTTTTTTTCACTTTGACTGGTAACATAAGGAAGGTGGATGGATCCATGCACATTCACTTTAGTGAGAGTCAATGAATATAAGACATTTGAAAATTATTTTCTCCCCATTCAATTCCACTCTGTAGCCATAAGATAAAGAAATAGAAAAAAACCCACTGAAATCACTAAGCATACTTTCAAATAAAACCAGTACTTATTCTTATAATAAAATAATATACCTTTTGAAATTTGTTATTTTGTGTATTGTTTCTCCTGTGGCATGGCTTTGTGCCCACCCATCYCATTCTTTTGCATGGCACAAATAAAACTCACTTAGGACAATGTCAAATTTTTGAGACAAACTCTCATGATCTGACAAAATGGCAAAGCTCTCTTCATCCTTAATTGAAGCATCAGGATTACATCTTCACCAGTTTATTTTACTGTACCCTTCACAGAATGTTGTGAATTAAGTAAAATTATTGTCTCCTTTTCTCATTCTATTATTTTATAGACTCTAATGATATCTTACTAATTCTCATTCACATAGYTATCCCCATTCCAAAACTCTTTTAGTAACTAGGAATGGCTGGATGGCACAGACAATCCATATGAAAACACAAGATCTCCCTCTGATTGGGACAAGTTGTAATAGTTCCTCACATTTCCTGTATGATGCTTATAGAAGTAGGCAGGAAAATTCTACAAGAATGGCTACAATAAGTTTCTATATACTGAGTAACAGACTTTAGATTCAGTGTGATTTTATAGACATAAAATCTAAATAAAAGGTAGCAGACAGACAAGTATACTCAGTTCCATGATCATTGTATTTACACATGCAAACTGAGTGAAGACTGTCAATTTAGATTTTTTGAAAACACATTAATGGAATACAATGATCATAGATAAAATGTTTAAAGCTGAAATAKGCAGGGGAAATCATAAGAATTTGAAATTACTTGGAGGGAGAGTTTAAGAATGATGTGACTTTCTCCTTCACAATAATCTGCTTGTATTTTAGAAAGAAAGCAAAGGTAGAACAGATTAGAGGGGAATCTGTTAACATTTACAAAACAATCCCACATTCAAAAGTTAAATTAGCATCTGTAAGATAAAACACTTTTTTTCTCARGAGTTAAGATAACCAGCTTAGAATTAGCTCTCTAAGATTATGTCACAGACAAATCTTTTGATGTAAGATCATTTAAATCTGACTTGTAGCAATGAAGCGGCTCTACCTGTGGGAATATGGCAAGAGGAAAAGAACTCTGACTTTTTTTGAGAATAAGAGCTTATCTCATAATTCATAAAAGGAATGACTACATTTTTAAAAAGTTAAGACAAGGAGATGAGAAGGATGAGAGAAAATATAAGAAACACAGGTAAAGAACAATTTAGGAAATGCCATTAAGAGTTATTTAAAAAAAAAAGTATATGCCATTAAGAGTTATTAAAAAAAAAAAAAACACATCACCAATGGAGGGGACACATCAAGGATTCAATATAGAGAAATTTCCTGAACTGAAGAGGCTCTCATTTGAAAGGGCCCATCAAAGGTTATCAGAACTATGAACATTGCCCACACTCAGACACACAGTTATCAAGCTCACGTACACCCCGAGGGGAAAGAGGTCTCTGGCTTCCACAATCATTCCTTTGATACTCTGTGACTTTCTAAGCATCAGTCATGTATTATTTGGTGAAAAACATTAAATATTTAATCATGATAAACATTAAATTCTAGGAAATGTCATTTACTTTCATATTCTATACGTGGATTCAACAAATTGTACTTATTTATAATTATAGTTAAATATTTCAAATTGTAAGTCTAAAAAGCTATACACATATATACATATGATCTTGAATGCTATGATTGTATTGACAAATGGATAAAATCTCTATTTCATGTGCTTTTGAAGTTTACATACTTTATATTTAAAATTTTCAAAAGAAATAAGAATAAAGTTAAACCCATGATTATGCTGTTTAACTTTGTCTTTAGTCTTTGCCAAAACTGTACCACCACTGCACAAATATCTGAATATAGAAAAATACATTGAAGGCACGGAAAATATGGCCTGCAGGAAATGCACATAATTACCTGCTGTGGGATCAGTGACAGCTTGACTTGTGATGCCAGATGGAGGTTCCTGAAGCTGGTAAGTGGCATTGGTGGATGGTGTCGTCGGGCTGGTGTTGCTGCTTGTCATGTAATGGGCTGGATATGGTGAGCTGTTGTAATACTGTGCATACTGACCCTGGCCAAAACTGGGGTAAGATGGATAGTCCTACCAAATCAAGACAAGAATAATCTGTCAGAGTTCTTATATTCAAAAGTACAATTATAAATGTTTTTCTGTGTTTTTTCTGAATTCATATGCATTCACTGAAGAGCTCAGACTTGCAAATTTTATGTAAGATTACAGACATTCTTCATATAATCTTCTAGGATGCAGTACTTGTAAAATTAAAACAATGGGAAAACCAAATAACTCACCAAAAGAGATGCTAAAGAGATTTTTTTAAGGGGGGGGGGCAGGAAAAACAACTATTAAAAAACTTGGAAACGTTCTTATAGTTTAATATAAACAGATCGTACTTTATATAATAAAATCATGCTGCATTTAAAAATATTTCAGAAGTTAAATTGGCTTTTTAAGTTACCTGCTGTGAACTGTTAAATCCAGAGGAATTTGTGAGGGAATTATTTCCTGTATATAATCCTGATGATGTTGTAAAACTGCTACCTAAAACAAAATGAAAAGAAATATAGCTTACTAAACTATGTAGAAAAATGTGACTACTGGAAAATATCATTTAGGTAAGGCCGAGTTGGGGTTTATTTGATTCAACACTAGAATCCATTGCTATGAATACAATTTTATTTTCTTATAAGGGTTGAAGACTATGGTCACCATATAACAAAGAATTAAAAAGTAAAGAAGTTTCAATTTCTGAGTTCATGAGTAACTCACATAAACTAAGGACAAAATTATATATATATATATATATATATATATATATACAAAAATGTTAGACACTGAATTTTCCTTTTTGATTTGTAAAATATAGCAAGATTTTTTAGATCTTTACATTAAATAGGCATAAAGTAAAATGAAGGGATCTAATTAGGTGTTCTTGAAGCTTCTTGCTATCTCAAAAACTCTAATGCTACTTTCAAAAACTTAAAATGTTTTCAGATGTCATTATTCAGATGTCTATTATAATGGCCCACGGAGAAAGCTATTTCATTATTATATTTCACAGAAGAGTGAACGACAGCACTTGAAGAATTTGGTACAATGAAGATCAAAGAGGAACACACTCAGTGTTTTATCCATTACATGCACCATTCTATGTGTTGAATGTCCAAATTGTTCAACAATGAACAGCAGACACTATGCAAGACACAACCTAAGAGCAAATCTTAGTCTCCTTTTCACATTATTCACTATCAAACCGCTAATTTGTACAGAACAAAAATATGCTATTTTTGATGATGCTTTGGGCAAAKATTTTTTCGAAGATCAGGAATTGGCAACTGTACAAAAAGGGTATTAATAAAYGCAAAATGGGAATTTAAATAGGCAAAATTTTTCCGTTTGGCTACTTAATGACTAAGAAATTTTGTGTACCATTTAATTCAGCAATTTTACTGCCAGGAATTTACYCTGAGAGAAAAAAAGAGATTTTGGATTTATTCAAAGAGATAGTTGGCAAAGATGTTCTTCAGTGTTGCTTTTAACAAAACACAGAAAATGTTCTTAATAATGCCATTCAGAAAACAGAATAGCATCAAGCTGTTGATGATGTTTAATAACATGGTGAAATTTTCTTTATTCTTTCGTGAAAGAAAAAACTAAAATGACAAAGTATTTTTGGGTGATTTGTTTTAAAATCCTTCTTAGAGTATAAAATTCTTTAAAGAACATTAAAATCTTGCATTACATCTGAATGAGATCACTAAGCCACTGTACACTTCTAAAAATTCTATTCAGAACCTGTGCTGCTTTCTGCACTCAGAAATAAAAGTCATTTTAAAACAATAAACTAAAGCTTTATCGCAAATTAGTGCGACAGGCAATATATGTGCAGGCAGATCAAGGAGGAAGTCTTTGATATACACTTGTTATTTACTGGTGGCTTTAAGTATAAAACATTGTAGTTGGTATATTCTAATTATTTACTGGCTGCTAAACATTTATGTACTGGCTCAAGAGTCAGAAAACACAGATTGAAGTTTTGGTTTCATCACTTGTGAGCTGTTTGGACTTTGGACAAGTCAGCTAATCACTCTAATCCTTATCTGTAAACAATGGTTTGTAAACATCAAATAAGATGTTTTAGCAAACACAATGAACACACTATCACACAGATATTAGGCATTGTTATTAGGTGTTCTGGTGAATATTTCTCAAATTCTCCACTGTATTCATGTATTTTTCCCCTCTTTTTATTTTCTCAAATTAGATAGGTATGACTTAATCTCTTTGCATATCTAAAATTATTTTCCTATTTACTTATTAAAGCATCTCTGAACTTTGAAAGACCAATCCAAGAAAGTTATTTTTATTAACTAGGGAAAATATTTCTTAAAGGTAGTTTCAAATTTGATTATCACATAGACTCACATTTGAGGCTTTTTTCATTGTTAAAGTTCCCAGAACAACTATCTCAGACAAGAAAGAGTTCTCACATTGCTAATAATCCAACACAAACTGCAGATCCTCAATAGACAGGTTTCCATAGTAAGCTCATTTACACGAGACAATCACATACTTATCAGAAGTATATTAAATATCAGGCCCATCCATAGTGATGATTTCATGGGAATAAAAATGTGACTATGACACGAACTAGGACCTCACAGGACTTATCAGGATGAAATGAGTTTTATTTTGCTTTTTTAAACATTACACTTCATGGGCATATGACTCCTTAAGTATTTGTATATCAGAGAATAATTTATTAATAATGACATCATATAAAGCAAATTTATAAATAAGGAGAATTTATGACTTCCTTATGAAATAAAATTGAAATATCTTTAGGATATGTGTAGGCTTTTTAACTTTAGCTATTATATGTACTTGATAGGAAAAAATTTCTTTAGGTTATGACCTGTTACTTTCATTTAAACTACACATTTTTAGGTTATGACTTGCTACTTTCATTTAAATGACACATTTTTGAGCAATAAATACTGACCTCAATAATCCCCATTCACCAAGAAAATGAATAAGATGTAGAAAATATGTTTTAAAAATGGATGTTTTCATTCCATAAGTTATTCCTTGGAACAAAGTAGAAAAGACCGTGGAAGCTCTATTGGCACATATGGACCACTAGAGTATGACCAAGTAAATCACAGTTCAGTACTCCAAATGGTACCCAAGTGACTTTCCAGACTAATGCTACTTCTAAGACTGTACATTAGCTGGAATTCAACATAAGTTATATTCATTTACTGGCTGAGTTCAGGCTGAGATTCCATTCCATTTAGTGTGCTGAAGCAGGAGTTTAATGGCACCCCAGTGGCCTCAGGGGCTTAATGCAACATCCAAAAGGATCTCACTTGCTTTAGGGAGAGGCATACCTACTAGAGAATCAGGTTCAGGCAATTTTAATTTTTCACCACCAGAAACCAAATTTGCAGGGCTACTCCACCTGCCTCTACATAGGACTTARGCAAACAGAGCCTGCTCACTTAGTCCAGGCTACCAGCATTAGATTTTGGCCACAGCCTCAATTACTGGTTTCCTTTCCATTCTCCAGCCCTCACTAGTTCATCCTCTGCAAAAGTAGCAGAATCTTTCTCTAATGTGCATGACTGATCCTGTCACTCCCCTACTTAAAAAAGTAACCTTTAGTGGCTCCCTGTTTGCCCTCAGGATAAAAGTCAAACTCCTTACCAGGGTTTATTTATTAGGCTTTAGCTGGTCTGGTCCCTATTTATCTTTTGAACTTATTTGATCTCTTTCCAGCAACCCCCATCTCCCCAGATACACATTCCAGCCTAACACTAGTGAACCACCATGCAGTTCTGCTAATGCTACTCCTCAGGGCTTCTACTTCCTCCTGTCAAATCTGGCTAACTTCGATGAAAATTCATATTTCAGCATGGGCAATACATACTACATATGTGTGTGTATATTATATACATCTGTATTATGCACATATTATATGTTAAACTTAAACATTTCTGAGTGTTGACATTGAATCCAAATAAAGTATTTTTTTACCTGTTATTACTGATTCCTTACAGCCACCCAACACCCAAACATCATGAAGTAGATCTGATCACACTCCATTTCACAGATGCAGAAACTGCTCAAGGTTATGAGCAGATGTAGGATTCAATCTGAGGCCATTTGGCTCCAGAGTGGAAGCTCCTAATCGCCACTGTATGTTGCAAGGATTTTTTTCCTTATAATTCTTTTTTTTTAAGACAACATATTCAAAATATAGCTGACAAATGGCTCCCAAGTCAACRGATGGTACCTGTTGAAAGGCATTTATCCAGGCCTCTCCCTGGTGCCTATGTTTTAGTACCAATTTCAGTAGATGTTCTAGGAACTACTTCAAAAACATGTAACCAGTATGAGATTTCTTTTTGCATACAAAAATGTTATCATAGTCTTCAAGAAGTCAGAAAAGAAGCTTCTTAGAGTCTCTCTGTATGGGGCATTTGTGGATCTCGAGCTGAGATGAAGATATTGTGGAACCAAAGATCCCACTCTGACAGCTGCTCCAATGAAGCCTGCAGCACCAACACTGGGTTGCACTGAAGTTCAGAATGTCAGAAAGCAAAGGCAAAGTAGCAATGACCATGCTCCCCGGAAGGCTGCAGAGTTTAGGCTTCTAAGCCCACTCCCCACTCTATGCAGCCAGCAAGAAGCACATTTGTGCAGGAGACTGCTGTACACCAGACTTAAATCTGGATGCTACAGGGGAAACAGGACAAGACAGAACACTCTTCCACTAGCATCCATTCCCTGAGAGACTCTGTGGGACTTAGAAGAGTCTTCACTTTTAACCGCAGGTCAGAAAAATCAGGCTAAATGTTCAGAATTCCTTTATCAAAATAATATAGAAGTTATTTTCCTTCTTAGACACAAATGACTATGTGAAATATCACCTCCAGATAAATAAAATGCAGCATGAATATCCTGTGATAAAATATTTCATATTTTTATGTCACATGAAATCATGAAAATTCCCCAAGGTAGAAAGAATTCCCACTCAGAACCCATTATATCTCCATCAAGGAGCTTGGCAGACATTGGATCAAGAGACACCTCCAGTAATTCTTGGTAGAGTCTCAAATTAACTTATGTTTCAAGCAGGGAAAGAGAAGGGGTACCTTCTTACCTAGTAGTTAAAACAAAAATCTGGGCTGGGGATGTAACTCATTGGTAGAGCACTTGCCTAGCATGTGTGAGGCCCTGGGTTTAATTCCCAGTACCATAAACAAACAAACACACAAACAAACAAACAAATGAAATCTTATATACTAATTTACTATTTTGAACAATCACAGCCATACTTTTGGGAGAGCATGGAAAGGATACACTTATTTCTAAAAATATATTTTTAAAAATCTTTCTTTTCAGAACATCTGAAAGATATGTTTTTTTTTTTCCATCCATTGGCCTCTTTTTAAAGTAGACAATTTTTATACTATGAGTGGTTACATAGGGAGGGTACCAGGGATTGAACTCAGGGGCACTCGACTACTCAGCCACAT